ATATATTTTATTAGATTCTTAAGAAAAGCTGTGATTTCACACTTTTGAGGGTGTGATATACTGGTAAAGGAGATACACCTCAAAAAAGTGTGTCACAATAAGTTATTTTACACCCACAATAGAATTATGAAATATTAGTATTAAATAGTAATATGCTTTGTTACAACAAAAAATTTTATGGTGTGAACGCCTTTTCCAAGTTGGCAAAACATCATTTTGATTAATTATACTTGTCTTAAAATATTAGTATTAGGCCTGTTATATTTTGAATACTACATTCTTTAACTAGTTATTGGCGATTTTCAAGAATTATTTGTTTGTTTGTTGGATTTCGCACAAAGCTATATGCACTAGCCGTCTCTAATTTTGAAATAGTGGACTAAAGCGAAGGCAGCTAGTCAACACTAGCAACCGCCAATTCTTGGGCTATTATTTTACAAACGAAAAATGGGACTGGCTGTTAAATTACAACGCCTTACGGTTGAAAGTCGAGTGCCCTAACCACCAGACTATGCCAGACATTCAAGAGTTAGATATTGTTACGTCTCTGCTCGTTTGTTAATTTCCGGTATTATTTCTTTCCGATGAACTTGCACACAGTGGGTCGCGGGTTCGAATCCCCGTCACACCCAACATGCTCGCCCTTTCAGCCGTGGGGGCGTTATAATGTGACGGTCAATCCCACTATTCGTTGGTAAAAGAGTAGCCCAATAGTTGGCGGTGGGTGGTGATGACTAGCTGTCTTCCCTCTAGTCTTACACTGCTAAATTAGGGATGGTAAGCGCAGATAGCCCTCGTGTAGCTTTGCGCGAAATTCAAAAACAAAAATCAAATGAGAATATTTGTTTAACGCAAACTAACGAACATAGTTCTTGGTATTGTTATGTCTCCGTTTGTTAAATGATTTTCCGTAACTTCGTTCCGACGAAACTTTAGCGACGCAAGACCTTACTTAATAAAACTGGTTTATTCTTTCCGAATATAACTTTACCGATACACTTATTTTCAACAGTCGCTCTACAACAAACGTTTTAACAACGAACGTTAACTTCAACAATACGTCTCTCTCTGACTGCAGTTCAGTTACTCACTACCTACACACATATTATTGTCCCATCACGTTGTCACCCTCTTTTATATAGCAGACTACCCTATATCTAATAAATGCTAGAGCATTCGCCAAGGTACAGGATAGTTCTAGAAACGTGGCGTGACACTAGTCATGTGACTTTGCTGACGCAACAGTATGTTATTGCGCATGTTTTCCGAATAGCGGCTAGCCAATGAGCAGACCAGATGACGCGCACACCCTTTGAATAATAGCCAACGTTTAAGTGATGGCAGATAATGTAATAACCGCGTTGAAATTTATTTTTTCTTAGAATTTTTTTTTCTAATACGCATTAAGATAAAGATATAACTATTGAAATAAAAAGGTCGTCCGCGTACCACATAAAATCATCTCGTGTACCACCATTTGGGGAAACACTGATCATTAATTCATTATGTCTTTGTTACTTTAACGTTGCTTTGCTATGAACTTCACCCTGATAAATCGCAGTATTACTTCCAATTTTTTCGAATTAGTGTGATCTTATTAATATATTTTCTACCCTATAACAAACTTTCTAAATCAGTATGAAATTATTATAAAGTTCTTTATTAAACATCATTGCCTGCATATCAGGTAATAAAGATTATTGATAATCAAGGTTAATTATTACTACATCGTTTGGTAATCATTAAATTAATATTAAACTTTATTACTTGGAACTATTGTGAGAAGAAAAAACCCAACAGATTTCACATATTGCTACAGATATATTAAATACTATCATACTGACGTTTCTTTTTTTTTTCTCACTCTTTCAGACTCTCCGTGACAAGTCAGTTTTCAGTTTAGCAATTTTTGGCATCGCTATTTTCGATTTTTTAATCACTTTATACTCATACTGAAGTAAAAAAAAATACTTGTGTAACATAAAAAGATCGAGTTATTACAAAATCCCTGCAAATTTGTATCCGTATGAAGGACTTACCATTCCTTCCGTCACAAACAATTTAATTTATACCACAAAAAGTAACTTTTCTTCTGAAATATAGAGATGATTTTCTATAGGAAGACTTACTTTGAAATTCTGCATTAAACTCACTTTACCACAGTTTTAGAAGTTTTATTTAAAAAAAATTACTTTCGTTGATAATATTAAATGTACATTAATGTACGTTATTAAAAAGGTAAGAAGTGCCATTTCTCTATTAAAGAAGCGATTTGGAAAAAAAATCCATTAAATTAAGGTCCTATTATTTTTAACATTTTAGCAAGGGTCGATTTTATGACATTATTCATTTTGGTGCGATATAAAGCTGTCATTGACTGATTTCTTTAAAAATATGGACACATGTACTAAATAAACTTTTTTATAAGATACCCAATTGAAATGAAACTTTATCAGGAACTTCCCCTTATGATGATCAAAATACGTGCGAAGTTTCATCCAAATCGGATTGTGGGAGGAGTTTTGCGGACAGACGGACATTAACCTCTTATATATATATATAGATGGATAGATTTTGCAATCAGTAAGCCCCTCAGTGGCACAGTGGTATATCTGTGTACTTACAACGCTAGAAACTGGGTTTCAATACCCGTGGTGGGCAGAGCACAGATAGCCCATTGTGCAGCTTTGTGCATAAATTCAAACAAACAAACAAAGCAATCAGTAAAGTGGTCCCCTGGTGTGTCACTGGTAAGTTTACAGATTTACAATGCTAAAATCTGGGTTTTGATCCCCCAAGGTGGAGAGAGCGTGGAACAGATAGCTCATTGTGTAGCTTTGCACCGAAAAACACAAAAATAAGGTGATTTTCAAAATTAATTGCAAATGCTATTGACCAATCCACTGAAGATCAACATTCCCCGGTGATTAGGGTGCTCAACTCGCAATCTCCTGCTCGCCATTTTAGTCGCGGGGCGTTCAACAAAGAGATAAATAAATAAAAAGAAAACATTTTTTGAAAAACGTACATTTTTGCTAGTTTTTCAATATTTAAAAACTTAATAAAATGTGACATTTGAAAATATTTATGCAATATAACCAAATAGATGGATTTTTTGAGCAGTAACGAGGCCTATACCTCTTCAGGACAGGCGTTAAGTGTGTTTTTAAGCAAAGAGCTACACAATCGATTATCTGTGCTGTGCTACCCATGGGTGTCGAACCCAGAAATTTGACATTATAAGCCTTCAAGCTCATTACTAAGCCTCAGAGTGTAAACACGTTTTAACAATGTCAGAAACAATAATTTCAGAACGTACTGAATCATATTTACTGTATGGTGCAATTGGGCGTAACATTGCTGCAACAACTCTTACGTTTGCTAGCATGTACCCTGACAGAAACTCAACTTCAAGATCAATGGTAATCATACTGGTTCACTCAGTTCACGTTATTGAGCACCTCTTTTTTAGGCTAAGCACTGCGTCACAGAGTATTTGGAATGCTAATTTTATTCTTTGGGTATTAACTTTAAATAAGACTTTGACAGAACGTCAAATTAAAGTAAAATAAACTGATATGGCAAGTAAATGTAAGTTACTGTATTGGCTCGATTATAGGGCGATCCCGAATATAAGGCTACCCCCATTTTCAGAGATCATAGGAAATAAAAAATTGTGTGTCATATCGTCCTTTTTTAAGTACGTAAAATAAATAATATAACTGAACAGCCTACAGGTGGATTAGTTGCAAGAATTACCAATGACCTTGAGTAAAAATCTGGCGCTGTAGACGAGTGCTATCTGGACATTCAGGAATGCAACAGGCTAGAGTAAAGGGAAGGGAAGTGTGTCCGGCCGCGATTATAAGGCGACTATGAATTTTACGGCCTAATTATTAATAAAAAACATCGCCTTATAATTGGGCCAATACAGTAATTTATTGTTAGATATATTCAATATATCTAAAGTATATTCGTATTCACGAAAATCCTAAGCTAAAAATTTCAATTTCCTGTGATAAACACACTAACAACTAGATACATTATAGCAAAGTATTTTGCTACTTTCTTATTTTTTCCAAATATTTATCATTACAGAATGTTTCTATAAAAACATATTAGCTCATAGGCTATACCAACTGTACAAATTGGTCTACTTACCTGATTTCCGGAGGGAAAAGCTTCAGTTCTTGTTCAGTGACTGACCTTATAGACGGTATGAGCTCAACTAAAACATCAGTCTTGAAAAACAAATACCAGTACATTATAATAAAAAACAATTCTTTTAATTGCTTATTGTAGACTTATTGTATGTCTCTCTGCAAAATTATTTAGTAATTTTTTTTAAATCAGCTTATTACTTTGATATAACACTTACTTTGCTAAACACGCATACCTATGTAAATAAAGATACACACTAGATGAGTTGATTAGTAAATCCGAAGAGTAGAAAATATATCAAAATGTCCTTAAAAGCAAATTAATTGTTGATTTCGACTACACTTCATCTTTCATACTTATTTTACTTTGAAGTACGGAACTATTGTCTGTTTTTACTTTATCCAAAGCATTCAGATAACCCCAACAAAGCCCAGTGCCTTTTCACTTGGAGTACAGAAATCTTGATAAGTGGTCATGCATTGTATGAAATTACTTCATACAAGTCAGTGGTAGAGTGATGGCCGACTATGTGTGATGTGCTTGAATCGGTTTTAGAGTAATGGCAGACTATGACTTATGTGTTTAAGTCAGTTGTAATGTGATGATGGATGCCTATGAGTGACATGTTTAAGTCAGTTTTAGAGTGATGGCCGACTATTGAATGCTGGCCCCATCTGTGAATTGTTTACATATCCATTTACCCAAGAATATCAAGATATTCCACATGGGCACATTTTAGAAGTTGTGGTAGACATGTTTGG